ATTTTATTTTTCTCTATCTTGTTCCATTTCTCTTTACTACTTTTAATGACAGTAAAAGTCTATTAGAGTTTAGGGTTCTTGTTCCAAAAATACTCCAGGGTTCAGGGTTTAGGGTTTAGGGTTCAGGGTTTAGGGTTTAGGGTTTATACAAATAATTATTACAAAATATTAAATCATCGCATTGATAAGCATAAATATTTTTTTTATAATTTATATATTATGCCATGTAGTCTCTCTAATTAAATTGTAATATAGTTTAGCAATAAAGATACTATTTTTTTAATTTATTTTATTATTATTCCTAACATAAAGATAAAAAAAATTGCATTAAAAAATAATAACTAAAATAATTATAACCCTAAAAAAAATATATTACAAGTTAGCTTGAATAAAAAAAATATTAATATATTTTAGTGTATTACAATTTAACTCAATAGATTATAACTTGCATTAATATAATTCATAAAAAATAACTAAAATATAAAATAATTAAAACCTTAAAAAAATACTCCAAACATAAGTTTTCCTTCTTGAATTTAAAACCTATTTTCTATCACAACTTAAGATAGTAAGATTTCTTCTATAGTAAGATATATTAATATCTCAAATAATTATTACAAAATGTTAAATCCTTGCATTGATAAGTATAAATATTTTATTATAAATTATATTATTCCATGTAGTCTCTCTAATTAAATTGTAATACACTAAACTATACTAATATATTATTTTTTATTTGAGCTAATATTTTATTTTTATGTGGAATATTAGTTTCATTTAAATGTTTTTAATCTTTATGTTAGGAAGAATAAAATAAATCAGAAAAATGGTGTCTTTATTGCTAAACTATATTATTAAAAAGATTAACATGCTTATATAAATATAATCATGTGTTACAACTATACAAAGCTTAATTTTACAGTAGAGTTTGAAAATAAAAAAAAAAATTTTAAAACTCATATATAGTATCTACTTTTTTGGTCATTAAAAGTAGTTGAGAAAAATGGAACAAAATAGAGAAAAATGAAATAGAAAAGTGAAAATGGACTATTTTGTTATTTTTTTATATATATTTTAGGGATTATTTTAAAAAATTTTAAAAACTACTGGAGTGTTTTTGTATTTAAATTTATATTTTATTAAAAAACTAATGGAGATCCGTTAATTTGGACAGAAAATGAGCCGATTGGACGAAATTGGTAAAAATTTCAAATATTAGGGTAAAGTTGGCTAACAAAAAATCTACAAAGTATAATTGACGACGAGGGTAAAGTTTTAGGTAAGAACGATATTTTTTCCAAAGAAGAAAGAGCAAAGTACTTAGTATATATAGCAGCAATGATGGACGTGGTATTCTTGAGGGTAGCTCAGGCAACCGGGTTCATCATGACCACCGTGCTGTGCCCAAAGGAAGTCGACCCACCCGACCCAGCGAGGATGCCAGTTGCAAAGTCAGACAAATTTTACTCTTTTCGTTCCAAAAAATTTTACTAAATTTTACTCCTTTCGTTCCAAAAAAAAAAAAATAATAATCGACAAATTTTACTCTTTCCATCTCAAAAAAATAGTCGACAAATAGTCCATATTGAGTTTTGAAATTTATATTAAAAATATTATAAATTTCATAACTAAGTGTAGACTACTTTTTTAAATGGGAGGAGGCAGTACTACTTATATATTGGTTCTGAGAAATTGTTCACTTCGTTAAAATTGAAAATTAAAATTTGACCAAGTAAATTGAAAATTAATCCTACACAAAGAAAAGTAGCCTGATTTGGTCTTGTTATATTCATTTATTTATTTATTTTAATTAATTGCTCCCTTTAGGGAAAATGTTGGGCTCATTCTTTCCACACCCCACCCAATATATCTGTTGGGCCGTAACCCACATAATTTTCCTGATAATTTTCTTAATGCTTATTCACCAAACACCGACTTTACCATTTTGGTTGGAATGGTGTCTCCGTTCCATGGCAATTCACAGAAATTCCACATTCACTTGTGCAGAAGATCTTCCTGACTAGGTACCGTAATTTATATCCATATGTGTTTTTGGTTATTTGTTTGTTCTTTGGCTGATTCGTTTTACCCGAAATCCTGAAGGCTTCCTATTTTGCTCTTTGATTTCCTGCTGTCTCCACACATTTGTGGCTGAACATTTTCTTATTCGTAATGATTCATGGATCGAGTGGCTGCAAGTTTGAAAAACAAAGAGTTAAAATAGCATATTCCCAAATTAATAAAACTCCATCCTCAAGAGTTGTAGAGATTTTAGTTTTGGTCTTTACTTGATTGAGAAATATCCAACGAAACAGACAATTACTACATGTAATTCCTCAATTCATTCTCTCATCTCATTCCATTACAAATCTAAAATGAATGAAGACCACGCTGAAAGAAATTTCAGAACAAAGGCCAAGAGATGGCAACAGAAACCAAGCAGTTTTAATATTCCCAAATTATTTTATAGATATAAAGAACTCCAAATCGTCTGCTAACGTCCAAGGCCGAGCGTTAGCGTATAAATATTTCAATTCCAGAAGCAAAACAAACCCGGGGGATTCAATTCCGGTGAAAGAAAAGTAAAGTCAACAAATAACACAGTAATTTCTTAAAGGAAAAACCGTTCTTAAAGCTAAAAATACTTTTTCCAATTAGTTGGATCGTCTAAAATATCCATTGATATCTCATACATAGATGGTTCAAATTTGTATTAACTTTACTGAAATTCGCATAACAACGATTGACAAGAACAAGATACAGCTACTAAAATACGACAATTGCCTATATGCAAAATATTTAATTAAAAACTGTTGCATTCTCTACAATACAACCGATGTAGATCTAGATATATTCGGTTAAATTCTTCAACTGCCGAACATGTTGCGTACCAAATCATGATCTTGAACATATCACTTTTCTTCTGATTAAAACTCCATTTCATAGATCTAATCATTAGATCTATGATAGCTACATCTTCTTAGACAAGAACAACGATCAACAACCCAACGACCATCGATCGACGAACAACTCCGAATGACTCCTACAATCAGTCGGTTAATATCTACTGAAAGACTCCAACACGATCAGTAGATTACGATCTACTGACGACTAAAACTTGTGAATAATCCCACTTATTAAAAAACACTGAAACAGTAACAAGGAGAAGAATTTTTTTTTAGGATTTAGGAGGAGGCGGCTTAGAGGAGAAAAGGGGGGAGAATAATATCTTTGGTATTTATTTGACTAGGAAATTAATTGAGGTACTAATGAAAGGTTTTCAGACTCGAGAATAGTACTTTTTAACATTTCCTCATTTTAATTCGTATTCGTGTCTTTATGTTTTTCCTGGGTGTTACGTCTGAGTATTTTTAAGGATGAAAAGAAAGTATGTATATATGTAACAAAATGTTTTCTCGCGGTCAATCTAATTTTATAGATTTTCGACATAAAGGTAAAGTTAGCTAAGTGTGAAATTGACGAGGAGGACAAATTTTCTATAAAAACGCTAAGTTTTCCTTAATTTCGAGTAAACTGGTTCGGATTCTTGTTGGAATGTCCTCTCTGTTAGTAACCATTATTCTTCTCTGTGTGGATTATAGTACACCTTAGGCTTAGGAAAAAGAAAGCATTTTCCTTTCAAGATTCTAAGAAAGAAAGAAGCATATTCATTAAATTAGAACGATATACTAATGTTTATTCTTATTTTGAGTTAAAAAGAAAGCATTTTCCGTCAGCGGTGAAGTCCAAATCAGTCTGATGACACCAAAAATATAACCGACCATCCAACCCCCCAATACCTTCTCTTTTACTTCTCACTTAAACAAAGAACAACGATGGAACATTTGATTCTTATGCCACAATCCGTTTCTTCTCTAATGTGTGTGTGTGTGTGTGTTTTTTTTTTTTAAAATTTTATTTCTTCTTACTTTTTGATAAAGACTTTGTATCTTATGGGATCTAAATTAATAGGAACCGGCGGTGACTTTGGAATTTGGGTACTAAATACGTATAACTGTATAGAAACAAAATAATATATGGCCTCTCAATTCTTTAGAAAAAACTAGCTGTACTTAATAGTAACTCCTATGACACAAAAGTCATACGTGTGTTTGTAGTAAATGACATACTCACATACTTGTTTAATTATTTTTGCCATGACTTCTTCTTCTTCTTATCTTAGTAATAATAGCCTTGATGAATATATATATATATATACATATATATATATATATATAATAATCTGCAATAGTTAATATTCACTAAATCTCATAATAATGATTTTCATTTTGAGAATGTAAAAATATTTATAATAGTCTTCTTTCCCTAAGAATTGCAAATAATAGTATTTTAGATTTAAGTGAATATTTATTAAGTTGTAAATCCATTAAAATTTACAGCACCGGACACACTCTAATTACACCATTAAAATCTTTAGTGAAATAGTATAATAATGAATAGTGTGACACGCCTGTAATACGTAAAAGATATATAATTATTTTATGTCGATATTTACTGCGATTGAGGATGGTATACTGTATTTTGCATCCAATTTCTCCATACATTTTCTCCTTACCTAATGAGAAGGAAAAAAAAAAACATTGACAATTTGAAACACATGCTTATGAAATGTATGACTTGTTAGCACGTTGTGGAGACATGAATCTCATCTTTATTTTTTATGAGATGTATCCAACATTTTCAACTAAGAACTGTAATTGCTGCACATTTAAGGCGTAAAAATCATAATGTACATACATTTTTGCATACGGTATTAACTTTAAAAAATATATATTGGGTCATACTAGCAATTTAGCAAACGGCACACGCAAACGAACCGTTAACTGCCTCCCTCTCTTTTTTCCCGTATTCTTAAAGAAAGCCCAGAACACGAAAGAACCTTACTTTCCTTTTTCCTTCCATAGCTTTTGCTTAAATTCATTCGTTCTTTTCGGCTGAAAGAACGAAATCAAAAACACTATTCATCGCTGAATCTTTATATGTCAGACAGTGATTTGAGAGAAAGAGGAATTCCGGTGAACCGGAGATCACTTAAAGGGCCACATAATCCTTCGCTTTCACCGTCGACTCGCCGGAGGAGCAGTTCTCAATTGCGCCGCCGAATTCCGAGACCATCTACGAAGCCCATTGAGTTTTTTGAGAGATGCAGCTCGGAGCCTGTTCTTTTGGGAGCTGGAACAGCCGGAGGAGGCGGAGACGATCCCGGTCAACGGCCTTTGACTGCCCCGGAGACTGAGGGAGTTCTTTGCCGGCCTCAGACTTGTACTGACATTTTTTCGTCGCCTGACTATGTTTCCTTTCATAGCCCTCCTCGAAAATCTTTGGAGGTATTCGAAACGACTCAATGGTTCTGTTCCTATTATTTGGACATCAATTTTGTCTTCTTCTTTTTTCTCAGTTGTCTAGATGTAATTGTGGTTTATCTTTGGATTTTCTATTTTGGATACTTACAATTAGGAAGCATATATGGTGGATTCCCTTGTGTGCTTTAGAATTACGAAAGGTCCAATTAATGACTTTGTCATCTGATGTTGATTTGGGATCATGATTTTAGAGCTGAAAATATTGCCCGGTAAATCTGGAAATCATTATCTTTGGAACACTAATTCGTCATTGTCGAACGTGAAGACCTCTAATTTCCATTGAAAATATTACTATTTAATTACAACTAATTGTCTCAGCCATTCTGTAATTTGGCGTTGTGTGCCATTACAAGTTTATTGGGTTTATAAGTGATTCATCTTCCCAAATTTTGGCTTCTTTCTTGTAATTTAGGATACTTGCGTGCTTGTTAGTATTGGAATTGGGAAGCATCAGGTAAATTATTACGTAATTGAACAAATAAGAGATGTGGATTGTATTTGGAGGAGCGATGTTTTCGTAGATATTCGCATATAGCTAGAATATTGTTTGAAATCCCAATAGCTTGCCTCCTAGCAGCTTTACTATGAATGCAGTTTGCTTTAGGTCATTGGAAGCCTGTGATTACATCATTTTGTTTTTTTTTTTTTTCCTCATTAACCTTCTGAAAATATGCACGTTAGACCTTAACTCTGAACAGGAACCGAGTTAATATCTAAATCCAACCGGAAATTTGGGTTGCAGGGATACAAAACCGACTCTAAGGTGGTGATCAATGTAACAGTGGAGGGGAGTCCTGGACCAGTTCGAGTTCTGGTGAAGTTGGGATCCAGTGTGGAGGAGACAATTAAGCTTGTTGTCAACAAGTACATCGAAGAAGGTCGCACGCCTTATCTCGATAAAGAAGCTGTATCTACCTTTGAGCTACACAATTCCTATTTCAGCCTTGAATGTGAGTTCAACTTCGCACCTATTGCCGTGGACTTTTTCCTTGTCTTTGACTTCTTAGACAGATAATCAGAACCAAACGGATAGAAAACTAAAAAGTGATGAATTTAGATTCAGCAAGTATAAGGTTTCAGTTTTCAATCGGTAGACAACTCCATGGACTTATTCTTTGAAGAGGACTTCTTTGCTGATGTTATTTGAATCCATGATAACATTTGACTTTCATTTCTCAATTGGTATTACTGTCATCTGTGGTTTCGCTAATACAGTCACTCCTTTCAGATTATGCACTAAAAATATCTATCTGAGAAATAGCCTGCAAAATTCTAAAGGGTTATTTAGCTACAACAAATAAGATTAGCATTCTACTTGTATGCAATTATAGGATGCCTTATTAATTCATTTTTAGCCTTCTGTAAAATCTGTCATACTTGTGCCCTGTGTATCTTTGTTAATTGTGTTCAGCAGGGCAAAAGCAAATGCACTTGTTCCCGTTACAAGGAATGCTATTGTTTTTGGGAGGAAGGGGGTAGGACCCTTAGGTTGGAATATAGTTGATTTTACTGTCGCTCTTCTGTACTCAGATTTCCCTGAAGTTGGTTGATTTTTTCTGCATGAACAAGCAGAAAATTGTTTCCTATGACTTGTCCTCAACTTAAGGTTATGGTCTTGCTTTAGGCATGGACAAAGCGGACACAATTGGAGATGCTGGCAGCAGAAACTTCTATCTTCGAAAGAGGAGCAGCAGTCAAAGTAGCAGTTCATCTCTGAGTCCAGACAGTCACTCTGATGGGGCTGGCTATCGACTTTACTGTTCACCTCTGATCTCCCTCCAAAATTCCATATGTAGGAAAATTAACAAGATGGTTAGAAAAACACATAAACTCTGGAAATTATTAGGTTGTTTATGCTAAAACTCAGCAGAAATTAACATCAAACTCCCCTTATTAGAGCAACATCGTATTAGATATGTTGCTCTATTAATATGTGTACATTTGCAGATGGGACACACTTCAATGTATTCATACTGTTGCTGCAGAGGTTGCGCTGCTTTACAATGTAAATAGAGATGATACTACTACCTTATACAGAGGAAAGAATGTGCACAGAATTATATACTACTTGGCAAATGTTAAGAGAACTTGTTTCTTGAAGCTAGGTGATAAAGATTTTGAGAAAGGAATTTGACGGTTTACAAAATGAAAAAATGTTAAACCTTTTCAAAAAGTAGAAAATAAAATTACATTTACCATTTCACCAATTACAAACCAAAACCATAAATGTGAATGATAGTGAGTGAATCATATTGAGGAAATCTAGAGATAAAATCTTGTATGCTCCCGAAAGTGTCCACAGAGACAACACACATCCTAATTAGTCCTTATAACTTCACGTACAAACAAATGTACCTCAATTTCCTCGAAGCTTCCCAGCTTCCATAATTCAGATAGAAACATGATTTCATTTCACCCTTCAAACCCACATCATCTCACGTAATGCACATCAAATCAGCCCATTTAAATAGTTCATACATTTGTAAATTCATAAATCCAAATAATTTCTTCTTATTGCAAACAATACAGCCACGTATATATATATAACTCATACAATACTATAATAATATGATATATTTAATAGTTTTGATTTTTAACAGAATGGAAAACTTTCGATCGCCGTTTCGGAAGAATTCAGCTGACACCAGCAGTTCCGATGACGCCGCCGCCGCCGCCCAAGACGGAAAACACGAGCTGGTGCGGACGAGGGTCGGTGGTATCTTGGAGGTTCCGGTGGCGGCGCGGTGGTTGGGTAAGGCGGCTGCATGGGGGAAGGATAATGGTGAGCAGAGGAAGCCCGGTAAGTTGTTACTGAATGTGAATATAGAGAACAGTGTTGGGGCGGTTCAGGTGGTGATGTTGCCGGAAAACACCGTGCATGACCTGAAAAAGGCGGTGGTGGAGATTTATGTTAGAGAGAAGAGGCGTCCCTTTTTGGCTTGTTCGGATCCTCGTTGTTTTGTGCTTCATTACTCGCCCTTTAGTCTAGAAGGTAATTTTTGTTACTACTTTGTTTGTTGTTGTTTTTTTGTTTTTTGTTTTGAATAATTTTTTTTTTAATTTTTATAAACCCACATTACTGTCACACAGCACTTGAAGTATTAAATTAACAATCCTTTTGAACTTTATATCTGCACAAATGTTACTCCTTTTCTTTTGCATCGGAAAATAGTTTACTTTATTAGAACGGATACTGTCACAGTAGTTTTTTTTTTTCCTAATAATGTTTCGATATCAAATTCCTCATAAATTACTTTATGTATGTACAAGAATATCACGTTTGTAGTATACTAGTCGTAAGTTCTAAGAAAAAGAAAATCAATTTGGGATTGTACTTTGGTTATCACACACAAAATAAAAAATAAAAAAAAATCACTTAAATCATTAAGTATATATACAACAAATATTCAATAATTTTGATATGGATGCACCAATTTTGCATGGCAGGGTTGAAGCCGGAAGAGAAACTCAAGAACCTTGGATCACGCAACTTCTTTTTGTGTCAAAAACCTGGCATTTCCATCGACAAACAACCATTGTTGTTGGAGCAGGCTAATACAGTGGGCAAATCTTCATTTCTATTTGTTGGTCTCATGGATTTTGTGTTGTAGTTTTCCCTGCTTTTCCCCTTGCTTTTAAGTTTTCGATGTGTACCGTACAACAATAGTATAATCCAAAAAAAAAAAGAAAAAAAAAAGAAGAGAAGTTCAAACTTAGTTTTTGCTTTTAAATTTTTGTATTCGGAGGTATGTCTGTGCAATTGTCTAAGGGCCTTATAATTCTGTCACACAATACACAATAAAAACCTCGGCAATTCGAGCAAATTTACCAAGTGCAAACCGAACTTTTGTTCGACTTAGCAGTTTTAATCACATTGTGTTTAAAACTAATAACATTGTGTTTTAATCACGATTTAATCATATCTGATAAATCTTCCAATATTTGAAAGCTGACATGTTCGAAAACTATATATTCAGTCACAAAATTCATATCACGGTAAAAAACATACTTCAACTCAATCCCCTAATTTCAAAACAAAATCTCTTCAATCGCCATAACTAAAGATCCATCAACTTAGCAAATTTTGAAAGTATATGGGTTTTGTTGCGTATAAATAAGTTATTTTGGCTCATCCCAATCTCCATTCTCATTTGTTTTCACCCAAATGCTACTGTTAAAAACAACTTTTACCATAAAAATAAAAAAGAGAAAGAGAAGAGATACTCCTCCGGTCAATATTATAAGACTTTTTTATTTGTCTAAGTACTTAAAATGTCTTTTTAATTGAAAAAGAAAACCTCAAAATATTTTTCAATAATTAGGAGAACACGAGAATGTAAAACTTGTTATAGAAAAATATGATTTTATTGAATGTCCACATTAATATGTACTATTCTATTTACAATCAAGGAGATATGATTCTGTATATTTAGCATTAATGATCGGTGATTCATTTCTCATAGTTTGATCCCTTACTTCTTAGGAAGCTTATTCATGCTTCAAAACATATCTGAATACAAGTCTCTTATCTCTCTTTACTCTCTTATCTCTCGTCTTTGTTCTTATATTTAGTTTCATATTAGTAGTCTAACAATAATTTATTACACGTAATCAGCACGAGACTCTAATCAAAGAGCTTCTACCACCGTCTGAAGTTGGTGTGTATTAATTCTGAAGGCCTGAAATCTCAATGAATATTTCAATCCTACCACCGCCTGAAGTTGGTGAGTATTGATTCTAAAGGCATGAAGCCTCAATGAATATTTTAAAAGGTTTTTGTGACCTGAACCGCCGTGACCTCAAGTCACTTCAAGATCTCAGTTTAGGATTGTCAATTCAAAATTGAGAAAGCGAATTCGATACTTTGAAATCATACTATTTCATTTTGTATTGAGATGTATGAGTGACATGTGATTTTATTAGTCAACGAGTTCTTGGACAAAAAACTCATCCACGGTTTTTCAATATTTTGCTTTTGTTTTGATTTCTAATTCCATAAACTAAATTACCTGTTTTGTTATGATCTAATCTCGTTAATATCAATCCCTTATTCGATGATTATGTTATGATGCATATTATTTATATTATCCTCTGGAAAGAGTAAAAGGAAAATAGGAGAGATATATAATGGAGTTTTTATTTCCTTGTTTTGATTCAATTTAAACCTTTTAATGTAATTATAACCTATGGGTTCAATACATGTTTGCGTATTGTTGGTGTTATTAAGGTTTTATAGCATAATTATATTTGTAGGTTTACTTTTTCCTATAAAAGAAAATTATTTGAAAAACAAATTGTCACTATGCTGTAGTGATTTGCTATGTACGTTGACAAGAATAAATGTTTTAGTTTTCTTATTTTATTTTTGTTGTATATACTATTATTGTTTCATGAAAAAGATGCCACCCTTATTTTGAGATTTTTCACTTCCTGAACCAAGTGAACTATTACTATATAGATATATTTTTTTACCCTAAGTGAAAGATTAATGATAACAAAAACAAAATTGCCCCTGAAATAGCAATGTTACGATAACATATTTATCATATTAAATTGCTGCAGCAGTAGCACTATAATAAAATATTTGGTGAAATCTTATGAATCGATTTCTTTCCATTCCCTGAAGTGATTGGGCAGTAAATTATTTTACGGTAAATTGTAGACATTAAATCTACAATAATAATACGGCAATTATATACCAAATACAACTATTCACCTGAAGTGAGAATTTGAATGATGATCAATTTGAGGTCGTATACCAACCAAAAGTTGGGAAGTAATGTTGAAAAGAAAAGAAAGGCATTGAAAAAAAAACCTTCGATATGGAATAACGAACAATTGGTCGTGTATGCATCATACGCCAAAACATCATACAGATCTCTATTAGCAATCGATGAAGAAAGAAGAAACGAAAATAGAGACAAATATAATTTATAACAATGTTGATGATGTTGACCATAGTCTCGTTAACAACGACTTTACTATTTTAGATGTTTCCGATTTCTTTGTCAAACATCCAGACGGTGATATAAAAATTAATTTAGAGATGGAAATGTCTAATATTTTAAACACTCTGAAGGTGTTGTGATTTTTTGACAACTATAGTAATGATATTATGTAATTGACATTTTCTATTGACATGTTTCAAAGAAAATAATATCTAAATTTTGTAATGGCAAAAGTATGTCTGACATATAGTGCAACTCATATTACCTCTCTGGTTATTTTAGATTTTATTAATCGCCCTGAAGGTGATGCTAGTCAATGATAAACACGAAATCAATTAAATGCTCCTGTAGAGCATATGGCATTGAATTATTTTGTAAAGATAGATGAAAACCTTCGTAGAGTATAATTACTCCGGAGATTAAAAACAAATGAATGCTTTTGAAGAGCAAATAGAATGAATTTATCATTGCCTTTGGAAAAGCAATAGTAAACAAACTTTGCTCCTAAAAGAGCGCGAGAATGTTAGAAGGAGAAAGTGCATTGAGATACGTTATATTCTCCAAGGTATCAAAGAAGAATATAAATTGCTCTACCAACACAACTATTTCGAATTTGAAAATTCATTATTGTCTCAAGCAGAGCAACGATACTTTATTTTTAAAAGCGCAAGAACACTATGGTAGAATGAAAATAACTGAATAACAAATACTCTGTCAGAGTAAACGCTTATGTGGAGGAAATTGTTCTGGTATAGTTGAATAATTAATTCACTTTTTTCTCCAGAAGAGAAATTATAAAATTTGGCATAACTACTTAAGCCATGGTTTCAAGACGAAACAAGAAAGTTTATATGCTTTAAATTTGGAGAACCAACAGTTTCTTCCAACAAATTAGAATATCAGTCGATATGTCGATGAGATAGCTACATGTATGATTCTCGTTAACTTGCAACCTGAAGTTTGCAGAAACTTAATTATGGAGTTAATTTGATAACTTGTCAATTTTCATATTATGCTCTTACGATAATTTTGATTTGACAGTTGTGGTGAGTATATGACTCAATACTAGAATAATAGAAGTTGAACATTGAGTCGCTATAAGAGTAATAATGAAACGGTATAGTAGAATCGTTTATTGCATGTGTTCAATTAAGTAATTAACTCATGTATAATTGAGAAAGTAATGAAATACAAAAGGCACCAATTATATGCATAAGACCAAACAAGTCATTATAGATTTTCTCCCCAATATTGGTTTTTTGGTTAGAAACCATACATATCCATCTTCGAATATTATATGTGCATATTATATTGTAATTACTCCACCACAATGCACAAAAAGATGAAGCCTTCAGAAGAGGTCAGAAATATATGTTGAATATTGAATCCCTAATGTTTGAGATTATTGATGTTGGATTAACTACTCGATAGACTGATCGTATTAGTTTGACGAGTTAGTTACTCTCAAAAGGGAGATTATTAACTACTCGGTTGGTTAATCGTCATTTTAGCGAGTTAGTTATCCTAACATCAGGGGGAGAAGTTAAAACAGCCTATTTATAAAATCATATGGACAATTTAATTACCTCATTATGATCCTCAATAATATAAACTTGAATTTCAAGAGATAATGTTTAAGACCAGATGTTTACCTGACCGAATGTATATATATATATATATATATATCTTATATAAAAGGCCGTTAATTTGATAATGTGTCCCTGAAGGACTATCTACCACTATTTGTTAGTTGAATGTCCACTTGATGAGTGGTAGAACCATCGATTCCAAATGATAAAAATCCTCGCAAAATGACAAGCTTTAAATCTATAGAGAAGGCTAATACGAGTGATTATAATACATAAGAATTTTGAACTGGAATAGTTTCCCATTATGGTAAATTAAGTTCCAGAAGAAATATATGAATACTTGGAAAACTTAATGATTGTGAGACCTCATTACCAAAAAACATAGAATCGATCAGCAATAAAATGTCGACATGAAAATTGCTTATGCTGCAGCAGTAAAATAAATGAAAATGAGGATCATAAAATGAAAGTTTGTTGTAGATGTAGACATTAAACTTATTGGCCACAACAAATGAAAAAACGCAATATACACTTGACGATGTGTACTGGAATTAAAATTGCTTGCGAACTAAAAGTTTGACAAGTGATATACCGGCTAGATTTTGACGGGTGATTTTGCAAAAGATTATCGAGCAACCTCTTTGTGCACAAGTTTTTCCCTCCGGTTTATCTTGTAGTGGATGAAAAAGAAAATCTTCCGTTATTTGCTAATCTGGTAGCAAATGAAGATAAGAAATGCGTCTCTTGAATAAGGTAATCACTTAATACGTGATACTTGATATTTAATAATAACATTTATATGAAATGAAAAATTAAAAAAAGAGACATGATTTCCAATTATCGAGAAATTAGTTCAAAAGACTTGGTGCAAGTCATAGTGTTTTCATGTGTCTAGATACATATTTAGGTTCATATTTTTTGAATATAATAGATATCCTATGTTTGTTTTTATCTAAATATGTTATGTTTATTTGTAACATGATTTTCTATCTGTTTTTATGATCATATTTGAATAATAGGATGATAATTAATACTAAAGTGAGTATTCATAAGTCATATATGTATTTACAATTTTGTTAGCACCGAACTCTTGTCGAGTTTCAAAAGGCTGAATATTATCGAAACTTATCACGAAGTTTGGATAGCTTGTATATAAATAAAACTCCTGAAGAGTTATATCATAGTTATTAACAATTCTAAAAAAGTTCAAAAGGTTGCTATTTCCCTGAAGCAAGAATAATGAAAGATCTTGAGTAGAATCTCGGTCTAAATAGTTTGACCTTTGTATATTCATCACCTGTTGAGTGCACTTGATTAAAATCTTGATGTGCATATAGATCCTTCTTCTTGACTTTCTATTAATGATGTATACCGATTTGGTCCTGAAGTACCATATAAGTTTCAATTTATCTAATTAATTAGTCAAGACTTGGATGTTGTATATTGATACCTTCAAGGTATGATGGTCATGCATCTCTATTATTATAAAACACTCAAGATTATACATGTATATGAAGACAACCGTCTACATGAGAAGTCGAAGTAATCTTTCTATTATTGACTTAAACAACTATGAACATGGTCAACAGTTTGGCATGAAACGAGAAAATTACAAGTGGCGTACTTAACAGAGGGAGTAACCCATGCTCTACTTTTTTTCCCTTGATCGAGGTTTTGTCCCAATGGGTTTTCCTGACAAGGTTTTTAACGAAGCAATGTCACATTCGGAAATATACTCTTTTTCCTTCACTAGGATTTTTATCCCAAAGGGTTTTTCCTGGTAAGATTTTAACTAGATATTGTTCCGCAACGATGGACATGCAAAGGGAGGAGTGTTATGCAAAAATCTGATTTAATTGAATATCTACATTAATATGTACTATTCTATTTACAATCAAAGAGATATGATTATTTAATATTTAGCATTAATGATAGGTGATTCATTTCTCATAGTTTGATCCCCTACTTCTTGTATAAATAGTGAGCTCATTCATGCTTCAAAACATATCTGAATACAAGTCTCTTATCTGTCTCTACTCTTTTGTCTCTCCTCTTTGTTCTTATGCTTAATTTCATATTTATAGTCTAACATTAATTTTATAACAAAAATATATTTTTAAGATTATTTTTACAATTAAAAAGACATTATAGGTGAAACTTAAAACATGCATTATAATAAGTGCACGAGGGTATATGTATTAGAAAGAAAAAAAAAAACAGAACTAATACATCGTAAAGTTTGATAACTAATACTCCTTCTGGTCCTTATTATATCTTTTTAATTAGAATAAAAACGTTAAAAACATTTCATAATAATTAGGAGAATATAAGGAATGTGAAAATATAAATTATGCCATTATAACAGTGTAAATGAGTCGAACGGTTCGGACTAGCTTAGTCAAAACTAACTTGACCTCGAAGTTTACTGAACTTGAGCCTGGTTAATTCACAAACTAGAATGTTATAAGAAGTACTACTAGTATTTTCTTTTTGGACAGAGATTAACGGAAGTACAAGACAAAAAATAGAAATTAATGAATAATTTTGCTGTAGTGCCAAAGATTGGGGACTAAAACCCGAATTTCGGAGGAATTGATTAATTAAGTAACAAACTCGCGTTGGGAAAACTGTACATAAGCGGGGGTTGCAGTATAATTTCAAAGTTCTTTCGCCGGACCTGAGTGCCAATTGCCCTCTCCGATCATCGCCGGACCTCCGCCCTTTGGGTACGACACAGGTACCGTATCCGAGTCTTCCGCTTTTGATCTTTGTTAATCTATTTTGCGATTAATTGATGATGATTGATGACTAAAGGAAGAGGTGCTTCCGTGAGAGTCTACTTTCATCTCCCATGGTTTCTTGTTTTTGGTATCCAAAATTCTGTTAAATGCTCCTGATTAAGCTGGTGCCTCATATGTACTTCCGGTTTTTTGATAATTTAACAGATTACACTTGAGTATTTCTATTTTAGTGTTTCTATCTTGATTTTTTGTTTCCGAGTTCCTTTTGTTAGGGCCGATTCGTAGCCTATTTCAATCTGTTAGTTTTTTTTTTTTTTTTTAAATGTCAGCCATTGCTGATTAGGAAATCAATCAGTTTTCTTTTTCAGGGTAATTTATTAGCTTCGTTTGCGCCAATACATATGGTGTAGTACCAACAAAATTATCCAACAGGTAGATTCTACTTTCATCTATTGATCGACCATGTGAACATCAAAACTCACTTGGTGATAGATGGCTGCTTATATTTTCTGCTGAGTTTTCGGCATTCTTTTTTTTTTTTGGTAAGAAAAAAGAACTACATCTTGCAAAAGATTTTGGGGTTGGTTGCTGTGGTGAGCAGCTTTGATTAATATAATCTCGACTGGTTTTGTTGATGTGCCTGTGTAGAACTACTGCAATTTGGGAGCTTTGTGCTTAGAATTGACATGGCGAAAATGATTATTATGAGTGAGCTACATCCTGCTTTTGATCAAATTATTATACGAATTGATAAAATAAAATTCGGAGTAGATAAATAATGTTTTAGGCCTTCCATCTGCCTCATCTCACCATACTTTATGAACTTACTAGTTGTATTTTTTTTTTCTATTCGAGAGTTAATCTGGCATAATAAGGTTTCTTTCATTCTTGTTGGTTTAGTATTGTCAGTGTTATAGAGTTTGATGTATCCTTGTCCCATAAGAACAACTTCCTTTTGATCCCTAAGGTATAATATAGATTGCTTCTAGGGAATGGAATATGAACAATTTTAACAAACTCTCTGTTAGGTCGAACTTTCACCATCCAACTTTTGCCTACTGATTGACTATCTTCATCATCTGTAGTCTAGCCAATGTACCTGACCCACTACTTTTTAATCAAAAAGATCTTTTCTGGATACTGTGTTCATGGATATATCTATTTAAAGATAGTGTCTATTGAATATATTTCATCAGATTTTGTTAACTTCATGGAACACTTGGTAGAATTCATTTCCATGATTTGTGAAGAGATATGCAAGTTCACATTATCTTATAGTTTGTATAGGATAAGCATGCCTTTGAAGTTTGCTTGGGGTTACCAAGCAGTATTTCAGATTAACCTCTACACTCTAGTGAGGGCCGAGGGGATCAATTGAGCACTCTTGCAGTACCTTGTACTGTAAACTTGAAAGATTGATTCTGGTGAATTGCTCTAGATATCACCTATTAATTGACAAGATAATTTGTGTTATCTGTTAGAAAACTATTATTAGTCCCTCAGTGATTTTGTGGCTTATATTGTTTTCGATCTAATGGCTAAAATAACTTATCAGGCTTAATTTTTAAGCAGGTCATAAACTTTTGAACATGGTTAATGCCATCAAGGGGACCCTTATTTCATGGTAAGTCAATCTTTCTGGTGCTTTGTAGTTGTATAAAGTTCTTGTTCTGTTTGCATAAGCTCTCAGCCGCTGAAAAGATTTAAATTGTTAGCAAAAAATTTAGCATCGGAACATGCTTAGCCTTGGTATTACTGGGTTCTTTGTCATTTCTAGTTTGCGCAAGCTTTTTGTAAGGTGAACTGTTTGTTGCTCGATCTTGAAGATATTAGTATCAAGAAATAACCTCAATATTTGCATCTAATATCATCGTAGAAGATTCATTATCCATTTTCCTTGTGTAACTTTGATTTGAGTATCGTTTTGGAAGTTGGTTTAGCATTCCTTGAAAAGTATTGAATTTTGCATATTGTTTGAACTTCTCTCTGACGACAACTCTGTTTACATTTTCTGCAGTGATGTGCCTATGGCTGTATTTATCATTAACATGAATGCTGCATTGCCTCAAAATCAGAGATTCATTGTGCACGTCTTAGACAGCACGCACATCTTTGTACGGTCTGATGTAGCTGGAATGATAAAATCTGCCATAGCAGAGTTCAGGGATAAAAATACATACGCGAAGCCTTCTGTTGATGATACGAAGAAATGAACGATATCAACGGGTTCTACCCTCTCTCTGATGGATTGGCTGTGTGAGTAAAGCAGTGCGGTCTAGTTGCAGCTTCTACTGCTGCCTAATATAGGTTCAGTAGTACGCTTGGAAAGATGAAACATGGAACTGAATGTAGCGCTCATGAATGAATTGGTTTGCACTTTAGAATCTTCATCCTTGAGTAGTGAAAAAGACGTTGGTTCAAATCATTTGTATGTTAATCTTTTTTTCATACTCATAACCATCCAAAGCTGGTTAATCTACTGATAATATCTTTGATTCTGATATAATGGAGGTTACTGCGTTTTTACCTTATGATGCTCCTATTATATCTTGTCGTTATCACATTTGACGCTCGAGATTGGATAACTTTATCGACAATATTAACATCAATCTCAGTCTAAGCTATACTCTACTTAAAACAATGTCAATATTCCAACTCTACAAAAAAATAAATAAATAAATAAATAAAAATCTTACCACAATGGAGAAAATTGAACGTCGGCTTAAGATTGCATTATAGAGCAAGAATTTATTCTTGATTTTTTATAACAAAAAAAAACTAATAATACTAAAAAAATAAGGAAAAAGAGAAAGAAACTCTGTACTAAAGTCGTGGAAAGGAGAACGAGTTTTACCAAACTTGCGATTAAAAACGCTTTGGGTGATTGAAAGTGAAACGAAGAAAATTGTAGCTCCTTTGGCTCTGTTGCTCGCTCCTATCCCAACAATGGCAGTGTCTCTGCACCCAACGACTTGTTCGTATCTTCACTCCAGCTCAGCTACTCCGCTGCCTTCTCTCAGGTTCTCCCTTTTACATCGAATTTCAATAAACCCTTTTTATTTCCTATTGAAACGAGCTCGAATTTTGGGTACTAGGAGAAACTAATTGAAAGATGGTGGCCTTTTCCTTTCTGTAATCTGTAAATTGTTGTGTGTTTGTTGCAGTTGTGCCAGTAAAGTTCATGTGGGTTTGCGGCTTCAGTCTCCTAGTCAGTGATTCGACACAGTAACAATATAGTTTTTTTATTGCAAAGATTGTCTTTTCTAAGTTGCAAGGTTTAATTTTTCTCATGGGTTTTGCAGATTCTTATGGGATTGAAAAGCAGAACCTTAACGTTCAATTCTATGATAGAGTCTATAAAAGTGTCCAGACCAGGTAATCTTCTGTTTATCTAATATAGTACGTATCTGAAAAGTTGATGGTATGGTAGATAAAAAGGTTTTTGTGATGGATAATGTTGGTTAATGGGGCGCTTCAAGTCATATATTAAATATGAATCTACGTGTTTCCCTGTAACCTTGGGTCAATAAATAGATTCCCTACAATATATGATACCAATCGTATGTTTATCTTGTAATTCAATCAGAGAATCTTGAAAGGCGTTTTCAGTACTGTTGTAGTGGTTATAAATCTCTCCCATTTTTGTTAATGTTTAGGTTTGCTGCTTGATTCCATCTCACTGTATTCTCTTTACTGTTGTTTTATCTGCATAGAAAAGTTTTACAAATATATTGAGCCTCACTTTAATAATGTTGGGAGAAGCAAGTAAGTTTGATCTGTTGCAGGAATTCAGTCGATATGTTTTAGATGTTTAGGAGCTAGCATCCAAGAAAATACAGGAGGTGATAAAGATAATGCACATTGAACAGTTTAAAACTATGGGGAAATGGAAATAAAAGTAATACCTTAGAGTAGTGACTTATGAATCAGGATTTTGGATAACTGCAAAAAATGAAAATGTTGTGATGGATATATGAGCGGATTAGATTCATAGAATATGTACTGGATAACATTAAAATGAAAACAGATGTAGCTTTAGAAATTGACAGTAGAATTTTTTCCTTTCGATACAATCGTAGTAAGACTTCTACTTTTCACATATGGTGTGTAGAGAATAGAGAATAAAACACAAATCAAGAGGGGAGTAAGATCAAAGTTTGTTTCTAGACACGAGTGATCTAAGTTTATTTCTAGACACGAGTGGTTCGGTAGTATATGAGATGACGTATGATGCATATAGCTAAAACATTTTTGTGGCACAGAGACTATGGCTGCATTGCCCTTCTTTCCTTTATTCTTCCTTTTGTTTTTACCATTCTATGTTTGCATTCACTGATTGTAAGATCTAGCTTATATTAACATTTGTATTTTAATTTCTTCTGTTGGATTGTTAACTACTTTACATGTTTTTCTCGGCTTGATAAGAAAAATAACCTATACTGTGAATGTTGTAAAGCATGCAGTCCACATACTTTCATTCGTACAGCATCTTTGAGTATATAACTGGATCATTACCATCATGCTTTCATGCCACTTAAAGCTTGACACAGTTGCTTAAATAAGTGCTTTGTCTGAATTCTCAGTACTTGCAATGGCAAACCAAAGCGGGGACGTATTGCTATGATGCCTATAGGGACACCAAGAGTGCCCTATAGAAATGTTACTGAAGGAACCTGGCAGTGGGTCGATTTGTGGAATGCTCTTGTAAGTTTGTAGGTCTATCTTTGATAACTAGTTATCTGTGACACCAATTTTGCACGATTTTTAATCATGTGACGGAACTTGTCTGAAACTTCAGTTTGTTTTGTTAGTTCTGGAATCTATTTGAATCCATCATCTAATTGGTCTTCTGATGAATAAATCTATTATAGCTGACTCGCAAACTCTTCTTCACCTGTTTATCTTATTATGCTGATTTGAATTAGTGAATTTCCTCTCATACTTTTTACCTTACACATTTAGGTTAAAGTCTTCCTCCTAAATTTTCCCGCAGCAAGTTTTATTTCTTGATCAATTTCTTTGTTCATGTTATTGCAGTATCGGGAACGGGTTATCTTCATTGGGCAAAACATAGATGAAGAATTCAGTAATCAAATTTTGGCAACAATGCTATACCTTGACAGTATTGATAATTCTAAGAAGTTATATATGTACATCAATGGCCCTGGTGGGGATGTAAGTCAGTTTCCGGACTTTCTTCATTTTACAAGTTTCAATTTTCCGTCCTCCTCTGGTTGCCTCTTTGTGCTCATTTACTTTTGTCATTTTCTCTCTGCAGCTTACGCCCAGTATGGCTATCTATGACACAATGCAAAGCTTGAAAAGCCCCGTCGCCACCCACTGTTTGGGCTATGCCTATAATCTTGCAGGCTTCCTTCTTGCTGCTGGTGAAAAGGTAAGATATCTACATTAAGTTGGGCACTAATGATCATGTAGGAACCAACGTTGTGTACCAAAGGTTTACAAGTTTAGGGATGTTGTATGTAAATAATTATGCTCGTTGATCAAGATAAGTTGTTTTTTGTTTGATGATTGGAGCTCTGGTGTGTACTGGATAGTTCTTTAAGTTGTTTCAAAGGAGTTTGATACAGTTTTGCTTTTCATATTTGGTGTTACTTTATTAAAATTAAATAGATAGCCAATTGTTTAGTATTTTTATTTTTTTAAAAGAAAAGTGTACCTGTATATAATTAATGTAAGATAAGGTACCTAAACTATTACATCTCATTCTAGTGAATGCAAGGTTGTGCATATCGCTAATATCACTTCTATCCACTTTAATCAGTGTACAAGTTTAGTATATATTTATTCATACAGTTTTTTACAATATTTCTTCCTTGGCATTTATGATCATATAGGGTAGTCGCTTCGCTATGCCCCTATCAAGAATTGCATTGCAATCCCCTGCTGGGGCTGCTCGTGGTCAGGTTTGATAATTCCTTCTCTTTCTGTGGGGTTTCACATTGTTAAGTTTGGTTGCCGTTGATGTTGATTGCTCTCTTTTGATAGGCTGATGACATTCGCAACGAAGCGGAAGAGCTTATCAGAATTAGGGACTACCTCTTCAAAGAGTTGGCGCAGAAAACTGGGCAGCCAGTTGAAAAGGTATGGATTGGCAACATCTAAATTCTTCTCGGTTGTACTTTTTCACTCAAAATGGCTCCTCTCTGTTTTAAGTTACTATTATTTGCGTATGCCATCAGTATTTTAGTTCTCTTTTTCAATCTTCAAATCGGCATATCAACCTTTAGTCATGTGTGGTCGATGAATGCTGTTTATGCAGGTTCACCAAGATTTAAGCCGAGTGAAACGGTTCAATGCTCAGGAAGCTCTTGAATATGGCCTTATTGATAGAATAGTAAGGCCTCCCCGAATCAAGGCAGATGCTCCTAGGAAAGAATCTAATGCAGGTCTTGGTTAGTTTTTATGTAATGTTTGTCAAAGAGAAAATGTGTTGATTAGCTATAGAGAAGACTAGTACTGTGAACCCTTAGGGCTGAGAGACATGTAATTGATGCATGTGTTTTGTGAACTGCTGGTTTTTCATTCATTTGGCTGAGAAGAAAGTGTTTTACGAAGGCGGAGATAGTGAAGTGTAACAGTTTTCTCTTTTTAATGGTATGGAATTCATTTACCAAAGAAATATGGTATTGAATTCAGCGATATAATACACTCTATATTTCCATTTCAGAATTTGCTGTACATCAACATGATTGTTTTGCTTGGTTTTGAAAAATACACCAAGCTTTGCTCCAAACTTATAAATCTTACAGACAAGCTTCCATGATTTGAATTCAGCGATAGGAAGAAGCTTAGCTACTATAACCATAATCTGAGACTGCCAAAAGAATTAACTAAAAACTCAATCCACTTCTTCGCTGTTGAGCTGGTCTGTTAACAGCTCTTCTTTCCAAACTTTGATGACCTTTGCTATGAATTCCTCGATTCTACTCTGCAAATCATCGCCTTCATCATCATAGTCATCGTCATATTCTTCATCATCTCTGTCCAGTTTGGCTTCGTCGTTGTTCCTATTGTCGTCATCATCATTGTCATCTTCAAAACCATCCGAATCATTATAACTGGAGTAATCATCATCGCTATCGCTGCTGCCACTATAGCAGGTTTCATCAACCCTCATTTCAGCCCCTACACTTGTTTCCTCTGCATCGTCGCGATACAAGTCTCCTAGGAGAAATGTATCATTATGCCATTCTGTAGATTGTCCAAGACCTTTGACGAGAATGAAGCATATCCCGATATTAAACATGACGAACACGAAAATCCGGCTCGTAAGAAACCCGACCAAACAGCCATAAGATGACAACGAGAAACTTATCAGTACCAAAGAAGATGCGACAAACAAGATTATCAAGAAGAATATCAGTTGCAAACCAAAGTTCATCCCCGAAAAGATTAATAAAGATAGAGAGAGGCTCCTGTAAATGTGATTGGATCATTGTTTCTCCATCCATCCTTTTTATAGCCAAATTCTGGTTCGCTGCAAAAATTATATAAGAAGGTTTTTTCCCAGAAAGTTTAGTTGGGATTCATGACGCCAACACGGTAACATCACAGAGGTTGAGTTACATGTACACCAAAAAAAAAGAAAAGAAAAGAGCTTGTTAAAGAATGCTGGGTGTTCTTACCGGGAAATTCTTTAGGATTTGCTAAAAGGGCCGAAATCCCAATCCATTTTCAGACCGTACTAAAACAGCTTCAGATGTTTGCCAGGTTCAGTTTGTCCAACCTCGTACGACAAAGTAAAGGGAATATAAATGTTACACTTACGTATATTCTTCTATTGAATTGAAATATAGTATTCCATAAGCGTCTTGATGTCTAATTTCAAATCCCTTTTTTTTTTATTTACTCTGATGATTAGCTAGAGAAACTATACATTTCCAGTAGTACATGAACCAACTATTACGTGGCACGCGTCGAACATGTATGAGTTGTAATAATATCCTAGACTCCTAGATACTACATCCGTCCCAAAATGATTATTCATGAAATCAATGTAAATAGATACACTGGGTATAATTTACTAAACAAATTTAAATTTTTGTTCGTAATTTATTGATGAGTACCTGCAACTAGACTTAATCAGCTCTTTTAAATATTAGTGAATGGTTATAGGTAACTGAGGGTGTATTGGAAATTCATAAAAAACCAAAAAAAATCAGTTTATTAAAATGAAACGAAAAACTATGTGTAAATGTAGTAATAAGCTGGCATGTCATTTTATAGACAAGAAACATCACTCTTCGTTCGTGTTTTTATTTCCGTTTTAACACTTTTCTTTGATGTTACCACTTAAGATTGATATGCGATTTATGCCTTCAAAAAAAAAAAAAAAAAAATTAACTTATATTGTACTCCCTCCGTCCCCATAATTATTGTCCAGTTTAAATTTTTATTTTTAGTTCAAATTGTACTAAAAGTGAAATCTCAAAGTGGATAATAATTTTGGGACAGAGGGAATACGTTCTATTCCATCTGTTTCAAGACTAAAAAAAAATTACAAAGGAAAAGAAATAAAATAAATTCATGAAGGTGAAAAATGAAGGTTGGGCAATATTTGGTTTTAGGTATATTATGATGGAATTAAAAGCCTGAAATGGGAAACGTGATAATAATTGTCTTTAGGTCAGAAAAAAATTTCCGAACCAATATGAACAAGTTTCCGCTTCTAGATTGACTTCATTTGAAGTTTCTTGAAAAACCGCCTTTGGTGCATTGAAAGGCATCACAAGACATATTCATTTAGCAAGATTATGTATCTCGTTAACCTCTAATTTCCTTGACGTGAAAAACGGCGTAAAGAAACTGAATCCTTCCTCATATGAGATTGCTTCTTAATGAGTTCATATATTAAGATGCGAATCTTCAGGGAAATTACGCTTTTGTCAATTGCGTTGCTGCCAAGAAAAATGATCAGAATCATGATATAGGAAATTCTGCACCCCCATCGCTATCTCTTTTGATTATTCTATGGCTCAGAAGTTGAACCTTTTAACATTAATTAAAACCATTAAAGATGAGGAAAGAAATAGCTAGGTTTTTGTGGGTCTGACATGGAACCGATCAATCAGAATATCGAAGATGAAATGGACGACAAGATACCCAGAATCCTACGAACAAGTGAAATCACAAGGCATTTACTCAGATGAATGAACTTCCAAAGTCAACAATAATGATTTTACACCTAAACATGATTACTAAAATCACCGAAAAGGAAAAAAAAAAAGGGGGGGGGCGAAAAGCCTGACATGAGCTCATGTACTAAAAACTACTTAAAGTTATTACTCCACAAACCTCGCCTAGAAATCAACATGCCGGCACTAGGATTACAAACAAAAGAGATGTAAGATTTATCATTCCAATTTGGTCAGACTCTTTGACTTTTAGTATTCGCCTTGGGGGTGCAGGCGAGTGAAGCAATTAACCACGCAGAGTTACGTTGATGTCAGCCGGCTTATTTCTGGAATCAGGAGGCAACGACGACCAGCTTTCTCCACGGAAGGCAGAGGAAGTGCGATAAGGGTCATCCAAGCTATCCCCGGTTGAGACTGTAAAAGCAGCTGTAGGGGCCGTGATTATGTGGTCGGGTTTTGGTTTCTTGGTCTTCTGCTCATGTTGATTACCCGCCAGGAAACTACCCACTACAATCTGATACACAAGAAAATGAAACTATTAGATTCTAGTTCACTTTGCTTGCGCTAGTAACTTGAGCTAGCATGAGGCCAAAGAAAGACAAACTACAACTACCAAGGCTTTCTTTATCTTAGTCTATGAGATCTACTATGCGAATCATACAAGCAACCATGGTGGATGATATACACTCCCTTAGAGATGAAGCAAAGTTGAAGGAACAAAAAATGATGATACCTGGACAGGACTGGCTGCGACTAATAGACCAGCAACACCACCTCCAACCACACGACCGTCAGGGCTTGCTAAGGAGACACTCATACCACCAGACCTATTCCTTATACCTCCAGTCTCAGAGGGCATAAATGATCCAGTCAGCGACAGGATCTCAAAACGACCCTGAAAAAGGAAAAAACAACGAAAATAATGGATAAGAATAAATGCCTTTGACTCAATACTGAATAGAACAAAGCTCAATCAATATTAGGCAAATAATCTGTCTGCATGTTACTGGTTGATACCGATATTTTTAGTGAACTTCAGTTAATTGGATAAAACCTACAAGCAAAGTTACAGCGGCTCAGTAGAATAAAAAAAAATCAGGGTTTCTTTTTTTGTTTCCCTTTCGAAATACATTCTCACAATCAACTAGACTATTATGAGATAAGGTAATCATTGAGCAATCATTGAAACAAAGAAGTTAGAAAAAATACTATTATGCGATAAGGTAATCATTGAGTAATCGACAATGAAGTAACTGATTTGTTCATCCTATGAGAACAAAACAATTATAGCATGAGTTGTTTTCTCATTAAACAAGAATTCGGCAGGAACCCATCAGTGCCGGTAACTGCAAATACTCAAACACCACGACATCATACTTGATATCCATTCAGAATGGAAGTTCAAATCAGTTAACTAAATTGGGAAAAGTAGAAAAGGAGCCTTATTCCAGTTTCGCCGTCGGTGGTACAACCCTCATCAGCCAAGAATTAGGTCGTCAAGTTACAGCTAAAGTAATAATCAAACTAATTATACTACAATGACATGCAACTAAATTTTCTAGTGAAATGACAAGAAAGAGAAAGTATCAATTATTAACTACGATGCATCATTTCTTAAGGGCCACGATATCGTACAAAGGTGGAAATGCCATAATAATCACAATGCAATAGATATTTCAATTAATGAAAACGAACTTGAATAATATAAATAGAGGATTCTAAAAAGATAGTGGAAGCACCTCATAAGTCAATGTACCGCCAGAAGAATCAGGTTGACGGAGTGTCACACTAGAAATTACACCATTTGCAGAGAGAATACATATTGCCCGAGGTCCCTGCTGAGAGAATGATATGACCTTCATGGTGACATCCTATGAGAGAAAATTCAGGAAAAAAACAATTAGCTATTCCTTTCAGTTTAAAACTAAATCTCACCATGCTGTGTCTTAAGAGAAAAGCTACGAAGCAGGCAACAAACAAAATGTGCAGTAATTACGTTTGCTCGACAAGTAAAAATGATTAAATGGGACCTTATAAAGTTGACCACTTTTTAAACCACCTGCTCGGTTCAAGCAGATTTACACAAATTTTCTGCAGCTAGATTATGTGTTTCAGTCCAAGTAAACTTTAACAAGTACCAGTTCCTGTCCACATTTGCTAAAGCATTTTCCATTGCAGTGAAGTAAATATTATCGAGTCTCCACATTACACTAAAGGAGCCACAAACAATTTCAAGTTACAGCAGAATTGCTTCATTAAGCCATTATGTACGCGAAAAAGCTTCATACCTCTCCAGCGTTAACTGTTATAATGTGCGGGGTAAAATTAGCGCCAACAGAGCATGAGACCCATTCACCTGCATGGATAAAAGTACAGATTGTCAGTAGCAGCCAGCAAAAAACTTTTGATCTGCTCTAAATTAGCACATGTAAGGCATAGACTGAGTATTAAAAAGAAAAGGAGACAGAGGTGATATAGTGACCTAACGTCGAAATGGGAAAATGAGGAAAATTTTACATTTACATTATGCATAATAATGACTCGACATCCACATATAAAACCTGGACAACACAAAATAACAAGATCGATCCTGTCGTAGCGAACAGGGAAAAAAAAAGATCAATCCTGAAGATCATCAAAACAACAAAGAAGCACATTATCAAACTTTTGGGCTGTTGGTTAGCAGGGGAAAATGAAAAAGAAAAGGGCCAGGTACAGGAAAAGTTTAAAGCAGCACCAAAAGAACATCATGACAAGGTTTGATAGGAACGGTGCACATGCATATAACTCTAAAGAGAACAACTTTCCAACAGAATCTGAATAAATAGCAGCATCCCACAAGCAGTCATGCTGTTAAATTTCTGGGCAGCAGAAAGTAACACGCTGAAATACGTCCAGATCAGGGGGTTATAACTTAATCTGTTTCAACAACATACAAATTTATTCACCGGAAAATCCAATAAAGTTTCTCCAGTAAGATTAGTCTACATTAACTAAAATAGTCTTCCCACAAAGTGAGAAGAGCCAAAACAAATGGATTTAAACCTTAAATCCTACTACATTACTAAACCAACCAAACCTGTTAACTGACTTTAAGAACCGACCATTAACATCAAGATCTTTGTTGGGGCATCTATTCACAGGTCCCACTTCTATATAAACTTGACTGGTCCTGACATCATTCCCCATAACCCCTCACAACAACAAACTTAAATCCAAATCAAAACACAAATTCATCCCACTAACATGCATGAAAAGATGTAAGCTTTTAAAGGGCTAAAAATTAAGCCATACAGGGACTGGGCCAAAAGAATGTAACTTTATCATTTTACCTATGCTCTCTACTTCCATCCTGGGCTGCTGGTGTTTGTGAACTGTCCCACCAGTTGAACGGACTTTTGCACGTTTCTCTGATGATGAGAAGTCAATTACTGGCGGAGGAACTGATGATGAAATCGGCTTAGGGGAAAGTGCCACACTATTGACTCCCCCATCTGGGCCATACTTCCTGGGCCTTCCTCTCTTCTTCTTCCCGGTGGTGGCCGCCGTGTCGGCCGCTGCACCGGCCACCGAAGCCGGCGGCGGCGGCGGCGGAGGAGTAACAGTCTCTGGAGGAGCTACAGCTGGTGTTGATCCACTACTGACTTGAAGTGAGTTTTCAGTGGTCCTTGGAGCCACATGGTAGTCTGAGGGAGCATCTGATCCCACCACTGTAACTCCACTGCTATTCATACCTTCCCTCCCTTCCATACTTGAAAACAAGAATAAAAAAAATTATACTAATTATAATAAAAATTCCCCCAAAAAATTAACAGAAATGTTTTCTGGAAAATTTTTTAAAATCCCATGATTTTCTGAGAGGAAAAACAGCCTAAAAACTGCAGATTCTGTCGGAAAATGATTAACCCAGAAAATCAAGGGAATGGGAAAGAGTTCAAAACCCAAAACCCAGAGAATGAAAATGGAAAAAGGACCCAACTTTTTACAGTTCAGGGAGCTTCTGCAATTCTAACCAGAGCTTACAAAAAGTGAACTTGGATCAAACTAAAAGAAGCCATGGACTGTTGATGTTTTTCTGTTCAAAAATTTTTGTTTGGGCACAAAGAAGGAAACAGCTAAGAATGAAAAGCAAAACATGGAAAGAATTAATGAGCAAGAAGATATGAAACAATTTTTGCAAGAATTACTTTGATTTTTTTCTGGAAATTAAAGAGAAATGCTATGAATGAAAAAAAAAGATTGAATTTTTGGGTTTGGTGAAAGATGGGAAAAAGAGAAAAAAAAGAAAATTTAATTTAATTTCTTTTGTGAGAGTTGAGATGTCAAAAGCTAGTAATTTGGGTTCCTAACTTTCCTCAGTTTTGTCCAAATTCTGATTATTAAAGGGAAAAAAATAATTAGAATAAAGAAAAACGGAAAATATATATTTTAAATTTGGTAGGTTATAATTATTAATTAGTGAAAGCAGAAAAATTATGTATTTTAGTTAAGAAAATGGTTGGAGTCCGGTAGAAAAAAGAAAAGAAAATCAGAAAATAAATAATAATAATAATAATAATAATAATAATAATTGTAGTTGGGAAAAGTGAAATTAGGTTGCCAAGGCATGAAGACAACCATCACTTTCTTTAATTAAAAGGGGAAATATATTTTAAGTTTAAATTCAATTCATTGCACATATACCAGAGTACATCTGTTATTTTAATGTATTTTTTGTCAAATTTTTAAAGACTTTCTTTTCTTTTTTTCTTTTTCCTTTTTACTGGTATCAAATGCAGACAAAGAAAAGAATAATGATGTTAGAGGGGGAAGGAAAATGTGAAGAAATTTTGTCATCTCCCTTTTCCACTTATAGTTAGGCTTTTTACTCCTACTTTTTCTTTTTGTTCTCTCTTCACTTCAGAATTCAATGGGTATTAAGACTTAAGAGCACTGACTTAAAAATGTACTAGTTGTGAAAATAAAATTAAACAATGTAATAGTTGTAAATTGCCCGTCTCCCTCCTCTTCTATTAGCAATTTACAACTTCTTCATATTTGTCACAAAACAAATTGAAATTCATTATCTCTTATCGACAATTCTGGAAGTTCATTAAAAATGATTTAAACGTTTGCTTATAGTGCATAACATAGTATGAAAGGCAACTCAACCATAAAACCAATAAGGCATTGGGTTGAGATCACCATTTAAGGAAAAGCACACAATATTAGTATTTTTTATTTTTATTTTTTGGTAGTTTACAATATAATTTTGCATGGGCTTAATGATATGGCACCATTCTTTTCTCTTGATTTTTGTTGATTCTATTTATATCTTCTTTCTTTTATTTAGGGAGACCAATTTGTAATGTAAATTATTTTGATGGAACTGAAAAACTATTATTACAAATTTACTTGTGGCTGATCCTCTTTGTCTTTGGTAATGAACTATGAAGCATCACTGTAGGCTGTCTTTTTCTATTTAGTTTTTCTGTTTTTTTAGGGAGAGAAAAAAGGAAACGGATAATTTTGGGTACAATAAAAACAAAATGGAAGTAGTGTGCACAATACATGCATCTGTGGGTCACAGGCGTTACAGCTCTGTCTTTACAGTTTCAAGTTTCATGTGAAATTTCAGAAAATAAGGACCGTATGATCTACTTTGTCCAATGATGGAATTAGTATATTTTTCTAATAAATTTGAAACTACGAATTGTTTATTATCATTATTAATTGTTTCCGACTATGAATTTCATTGCATAAATGGTCGCAAACTTAACAATTAGCCAAGCTGGTTCATTTGTGAGATTAGTTCACAGAGCAGGCTTAAATCTTCAAAATAATAATTCTCGTTACTATCTACAATAGTCGCCATATTATTACATGTATGAAACAACATTAGAAAATAAATTTTTTTGATATATTACATAATGTCTCTTTTAATTTAATTCTACCTCTTTCACGTTTTTGTGCCAACAGTATAGATGACAAAACTCGGTATGACTCAAAATAAAAGTTGTAACGTCTGTTTGGTGTGCAATGTTACGTTGTTCTTGTTTGGATACGTAAAAAGTTCTTATTAGTATTTTGGACTTTATCATGTTTTTCTTTATTAATATTTTTTTTTCTCACCATTAACGATTTTGAACTAGGGTCATCCACCTCTACTAGTATGGTTAGTTACTGCAAAAAAAAGAGAGACCGACAATGGTTAAAATTTGTGTTTCTTGATAGGTTTTCAATGCGTATAATGTCATAATCTATCTCAATTTAAACACCATATTACACCACAACAACTTTCTAAGACCACAATTCAACCTAATCTAGTATATTTGTCAATATCCCTTTTTCACCTTCGAATTATTGTTCGTTTACAATATTTGAATCAAAAGTTAAGGTTGAGAGTTCATCATCTGTTTAGAGTGTCATCTAGGTGAGGCGGAGTTCGTAGGTTATTAAAAACAATTAAAAAAATAAATGAATAATAGCTAAAATTACAACGTAGAAACTAAAAAGATAATGCACAATCAAGGACGGAACCAGGGGTGCAAAGGGGTCGGGGCGAATTTTTTCAAAAAAATATCTTATAAATTTTAAAATATTTTTTTTAAAAAAAAATTATATGTACTCGACCATGTAAATATTTGGGACTAGTTCCGTTATTGTGCACGATCCAAACCTATTTCAAACTTCCTTCGGCTTGAATAACTTTGAATGACTTGTTTCTTTTTCTTCTTTACAAAAAAATGGAAAAAAAAATTAAAAAATAAAAAAAGCAACGAATGGGAAGTAAGGCAAATATTCAAAGATGGTGGTTAACTAATTAAATCACGTATAATAATTACAACTAGAAAAGCAGCTCACATAGCTCCCAATCGTGCAACTTTTGAGATACAGAAGAAAATTTGGCATTGTGTTTGTTCATTCCACCTTCTATTTTTGAGACGTACTCCCTCCGTTCCATAATTATTGTCTTGTTTGGGTTTTCATTTTTAGTCAAATTTAAACTAAAAATAAAAATTCAAACAGGACAATAATTATTGGACGGAGGGAGTAAAAAATTGTTAATATGACTGAATCTAATAATGTATAGAACCGATCATTATTTTCTTTTTTTGTATTTTTTTGGTTATTCGGTGATAAGCATATAAAAAAAAAAAGTAACAAGAAATAATCTTTTTGCCGACTGTTGCTAAAAAGATTTGAATTCGGTAAATAATGAATCAATCACAAAGGCTGGATTCACTTTTACGGTATTGACATTTTGGAGTCTTTTTAAAAATAAAAAAAAAAAATTGGATATGATCGCATAAAAATTTGACATTATTATTAACTTAATCATCATGACGTCTTAATAATCACCCATCCATCCACTTGATAACGTTTTATTACTTCCATTTGACATTATTCTGACTTCTTTTTTCAATAATTGATTTGTCTTCCAAATTTCAAATAAATTCAGAACAAAAAACTATGTTATATGGATGCTCTCAAGGAGGAAAAACATAGAGTATATATAACTATCAAAAGGATTTGTTTTATTGCTTTTTTTTTTTCCTTTTTTGGATTGTGAAGACATTGGAAATTATAATTTCGAAATTAATTCGCAATAAATGGATTGTGAAGAGTGAAGACACTGAAAATTCTAATATCAGACATTTCTTTAAAAAAAATAATGCGTAATAAATCAAAAAAATTTCCCCCCTCTTCTGGGAAAATTAATTAATTTTCACTTTAATTATACCATGTCGTGATCTATGATGTATATTCAACCTCTTCTAAAGAAAATAAATTAAAAAAATTCAAATCAGAGTAAAAAAAAAAACCATCCATGATCCACCTAATGGAAATCCTTTCCGACGCTCATTATGACCTCAATATTGTCCGTTTTACTTCGTAGGTAGTGCTAAAATTAACAAAACTAAATTTTAAGAAAAAGAATGATAAATCAGCAGCACCTAATAATTTTATATGGAATATTAGGCCGAATATAATTCAAATGAATTGATTCCGCCTACTACGTGGAAATATATAAAATTCAAATTCCCAAAGTCCAATCAACTCTCTTTTTTTTCTTTTGAAAAATTACGTTATTTCTGACTCTATTAAAGCTTATAACAAGAAAATATTAAGTTGAAGAAATCGCCAAAGAAGAAAGAGAAGGAAAACCTGCAATTAGCAAATATAAAATTATAGTCTTCCGTTTAGCTATATCCACAAGATTAATTTCAGATTAATATAATAAATGTGTCAGCTTTGTTTCGTCCCGGTACACAAATAGTGCAGTAAAATAATTGTTTAAGAGATAACAAATCATTTTATACATAAGAAAACACATGGATTTGGGGGCATCAGTTTGGACCACCAGCATTTTCCTTCACTTTCTTTTTTTTTTTTTTAATTCTTTTTCCCCTTTTCTAGTTTTTCTTTAACGAACGACCAGCATAGATATTGACCAAATCAAATGTACTAATTCACACTCAAAAATATATTTTTATCTGATAAAATAACTGATCTTTAATGAATAAACTAATTTTGAATTGCATCGTTTTTGGAGAAAAACAAAAACAAAATGGGAATAAATTCTATCAAAATTAGGTAGGGTTTTAGATAAGATCAAATCGCTTTTAAGGCGTAGTCAAATTTCTTGTCTTTTCTCTTTTTTTTTCTTCTTTCTTAATTTCTAATTCAAGCTACTCCCATTCGAAGAATTTTTTTTTTTTTTTTTTTGGTTAATAAAAAAGTGCTCTTCTTCTTTATTAAATTGGTGGAGTATTATGTCTTATTATCCCACATTAATTTTTTGTTTGATTTATGTTTTACGCATAATTAGTGCAAGTGGCACCACATGACATGCATAATTTCCTTGGAACTTTTTTAAATCTTTTACACTATTTTATTCTAAGTTTTCCTTTCAACTCACGCACCTCTAGTTTGAATGCTTATTGTAACATGTAATTAAATATGCATATAACACTCAAAATTCAGAAAATTTCATTTGTTGGTATATCACTTGTCGGCAAATTTTAATCGCCGATTGGAAATTATTAGTTCGAACTTGTTATATAAATCAGTTTCATACAATTCATGTATAAAACCTAACAAATGAATTGTTTTAGGATGTGATGGCGGGAAGTCAATTTGAAAGTCGTCCACAACAAGTCAACAAACCGGAGTAAGGGCATTTTTCCCGCAGGTTATAGAATGGTTGGTGGACTGTCGTCAAACCCGGTCAAAGTGCCAATTGCCCTAAGCGAAGAAACCAGACTTATTCAACTATACTCTATAAGATGATGTTGGGCTGAGATTTAAGTTAACACTATAAATTAGGCCGATTACTGATAAGCCATAGTCAACTCAAGCCCACGAAAACTGCATTTGCCCCTAAGTTAATACTCTTCCAAACTTTCCTAATACTCATTTAATGAGATTACACCCTATTTTTTCTTTTTTTAAAAAAAAAAAATAATAAAAAATAAAATTGGATGGCTCCAATAAGAATCGAAGCCTCAACCTCCTGGTAAAAAACCATTCAAAAACCCGTCATACAACTACAGGTTTATACAACTCCTGAAATCTTCTATACTTGAAAATGTCAGTCATATCAAATAATCTATCACAAAATTAGGTTTTTTATTTCATCATTATCAACGTCCTACTATAATTGACGGTGGTTTTCTCTAAATCGATTCGGGAGGAGATATAATGAAAAGATAGCAGAAAAATCCCCAGCTACTTGGTCGTGATTCGCAAAGGTTTTATTCTTATTTTGATTTTGTGTGATTATTTCGTGAGCTGAA